AGGCGAGAACGCTCCGAGCAAAAAAAGTACAGAGCCTGCATCTCAATCTCAGGGTACTTGCCGGGGCGCCAGGCCGGGCTGGACGGCCTCTTCAGCTCCTTCTCTACGGCCGGGTCCTCTGGGGCCAGTGCCCTGGCCTGCTCGAAGTCCGTCCTGGCCTCGGGGCCGGCCCGGCCCCCCGCCGCGCCCGAGCGCTGCTGCATCTGCAGCCGCGGTGTAGAGGTAAGTCGGTCCGAGCTCCGATTTGATCAGTTACCCCAACGTCGACCCCAAATATGATTGCACGAAGCACATGGGGAACAATGGCAACATCAACAACAACAACCATCAACAAAGCCTGCAGAGGTCTCGGAGCATGCAATCCTCATGACCAGGTATGAACCCCTGTGCTGAAGCATATTTAGTCAATGTGGGCCCCAACCTGTTTTGTTTGCAATATATGTGGTGAAATCTAGGTGGTGAAACCAATGTGGTCTACCCTAGTGGCGCAATCCATGTGGTGCAATCGATGTGGTGCGAACCAATGCAGTATAATGCAGAGCACAATATAATGCAGTTGAAAGCAGTGCACATCAATCTAGGGCAATACAAACCAATGCAGAACCATTCATATCAACACACAGCAAGGCAAACCAATCCAAGGCAAGGCACGAGAATGCAGAACAATGCAAAACAATACAGTGCGATGCAAAGCAATGCAGAGCCACACAACACAATGCCAACAATTCAGTGCAAAACAGTGCAAAGCGCAATTCAAAGCAAAGCAGTGCAACGGGGCGGCGACGACGGACGGGAACGGGGCCGCCGGGCCAACAGGCGGGCCTCGCATTTGGAACCATAGGGCGGCGTCGAACGGGAACAACACAGCAGCCCAGCCAACAGACGGGCGTTTTATTTGGACAAATAGGGCGGCGACGCACATCAACGGGGCCGCCGGGCCAACAGACGGGCCCAGTTCCTCAAAGGGAAGTGAGAACCCCTAACTACAAGAAAGCACTGTTTGGCGAATCTGGAAGAACGAACAGCCCCCCATAGAACTCCGCCCAACGGCCCGTTCTGGCTCCCTCCACGCGCACCGTACTCACCTCCGAACGCGCTCCGCCACTGACAACGCCCCGCGAAGGGCAGCCCATTGCTACCCCCCACGCGATCCACCCCACCCAAGCGTATTGAAAAACTCTGAGAACTGTCTGAACACCCTCTTCATGAGCCAGAAGACCGCTCGCGTAGCTCCAAGCTGCCCTTTCGCCCGTGGGGCCCGTGCGGCCCCACAACGGCCCCCCGCGACCCCAGGAGACGATGGTCCTGGGCCTGCAAAGCGGTTTTCGGAGGTCCGAGCAAAATCCTTGGGACGGCGCTGGCTGACCCCTCCCCTGGGGCGCCAGGCGCGCCGAATACGGCGCTGGAATCACCGCCAAGAAGGTGCAACTCTGACCCAAAACATCCGCACGGCTCTCCGAAAAATGATGCTTATGCAATGTGTGAGTCCGATAACTACTCCCACGCCTTCATTAGTACGCTTATGGCGACAAGGGTTACGGCAATCCATGTTACGATAGCTCAACAGTGGCTAGCATGCTGAAACCACATCGAACGACCAAGTGTACCTCGCGTCTCACATACTCCCACTGTGGTCGGGACATGTACGGTGTCGTACACATCCAGAGCAGGCTAGACTATCACATCGAATTAATGTGGCTGCTTGCGGGCAGTACTCACATATTTGCAAGATAGGTGTGGTAGATGCCGACGCTTACACAACCCCACACTCCTACCATAACCACTGCCATATGCGCGCGAGGGTCGGAAACTCAACAACATAGGAAACACACACACACACACCCGTCGTGCAGGCAGAAGGACGCACTCGGATCCAATCAGATGTCCTTCCTGGCCCCATGCATACATTGCCCGATGCTCCACACAATGCAAGGATCAATAGAAAGACAACAACCACATCAATCCACTTGCAAACCGTAAGCTCGTGCTGTTACGGATCAGAGAGCATCAACCACCAACACTGATACATTTGAGTGAACCAGCTGCAAGCCAGAGATACGAAGGAGACGCGCAGCCCCACACCCAGGAAAGCGAAGGTCCCGCCGCGTCAAGATCTCTCAACTCCAAGTTGGCCTGTCCCCGCCTGAAGTAAGCCTGCAGCGAAGCCGAAACGGGGGAGGCCGAAATGCCAAAGAGAGGGGCTTGCGGACACCAGCGAGGGTAATAGCGTATCTTGCTGGAGGAAATCGATGAGGGGCTGTGCAGTGTCACTTTGAAGACCATGACTGGCATGAAACATTAAACTGTGGGATAATGGCGGACAAGCCTGCCAGTGACAAGGGGCTGGATGGAGTTTGTGGGAAATGGAGGGGAGCTAAAGCGGAGGAGGAGGAGATCTGATGAAGGGAGTAGAGGAATGGAGGGGGGAGAGGAAGGGAGTACGGGGATCAATTCATCCGCACTTGTGCTTGGCAGTCCAAAGGCTGAGAGACGGCCCCCCCCCAAAACCGAGCATGCAGAAAAGTTGTCCGTCATCATGTTTGGTCGGCGACGCCAAGATCTGAGGGTCCCTGCGGCCGACTCGAGCAGCCTCCAGTGGGCGTCCTCGCACTTGCTTAGGGGAGCGAGGAACGCGGATCAACGACCTGGACACAGAGGATCGCCTTGCTGATCAACCAAGCCAGGAGAAACGAGATGGAAGGTACAGCGGGCTCGTGTCGTGATGACGTCGGCGCTGGTTTGCGTCACCACGTGAACATGAGAATGATGACGTTTGTTGCGCCAGTGGCAAGCGGGGCCCCTGAGGCCCAAACAGCAGCGACTGGCGCACGCACGTGCCATGCACGCCATGCACACACACACACACTATTTCACACCCGTGGAACTGTGTCACGACCTGACAAGCCGGGCGTCGCAATCAGATGCTGCGCGCCTGTGTACTCGCAGGCCGTCAAAGGGCAGCTCGAGGCGGAAAGGCGTCCCCAAACGGGGCCAGATTCAAAGCGGCCAGAATGGCCTCAATACCACCTCCAAGATAGGATGGTGTTCGATCAGTGCTGTCACCTCCCGTTGCGGAATGATGCTCGTTCCAACGTATTACCCATCCGCTGAAATAGTGTTCAGTCTGGCCATCGTCACCTGCTTCTTCACCCACTTACTCGTTGATAGTGGATCCGGCGTTATCTCATAACTTCCCGTACGTGATATGTGTACGGGGAAATCACTCGGCATAGCTTTGGTGAGGCAATACGGTACCATGATGACGGCACCAACACAACGGATCCCATCAGAGAAAAGTCTGGGACGCAAGATCTCAACTTCCCACTGTCCACGAGTCCATATCTTGACGGGAACTACTTATATGAATACTCAAACGCTGATGTGAAACATCTTCTTTTGTTGGCGCAGTTAAATGCTCTTCTCAGCTTTGGCAACCCGTTAGCCAAAGGCGTCTCATAGTCAGAGCAGAAATCTCTTCCCAATATGAAGGGAGCTTATGCCTCGCACAAAACACACCGCGGGCATCAGCAATGACAGCGCGAATGTGCACATCTGATTTTACACCCCAGAGACATGCCACAGTTTCCGCCTGCATGGTAGATTTGCACGCGCGCCGGATGACCTTATGCGAGAAGCAGATGTATAGGGTGAGCGTGATCATTCTTCCCCTCGAAAGCCTGGGCCAAGCAAGATCGTTGAACCTAGCCCTCTGAGATCTGGGCGGCTCGAGCGGGTCCTCTGCGATGCCGGCTTCTCCTGCCCAGCTGGCGTCGGTGACTGCGAGAACTGTCGCGTCTTGCGTCCCATTTGACTGCCGCTCCCTCGACCGCAAGGCCACTGACTGAAGACTGTGGCACCTCTTCCAGAACGCGATCAGCACCCTGGAGGTGAAGCATCTTCGCGCGGTTCGCTACCGTTTGTCGCCGACTCGCGCAAAAAGTAACTCGGGTTTGCACTGTCGGGTACCCCATGATAAAGCGCCAACGACAGACCTGAGCTGAGATACCTCCCCTTTCATTGCATCACCTGGTGATAGGGCTGCCCCTGCGGTAGGGCGCAACAGCAAACTTCCCCTTGTTATCCTCTGCGCTGGCGCGAACACAACAGCCAGTAGCTTAGCAAGTTTCCCAAACGCACTAGCGAACACCTCCTGATTTAGCATCTCGGATGGAGATTTCGGCCAGTGCTGAATCGATGATGCGTTGGCTCTTGTCGTCTGCAGCCCACCTGACATCGTCCGCATAAGTGCCAGACATGCACATCATCTCACCTTTGTCGCTAGCAAGACTGAAGAGAGTTGGCCACATACGATCTTGTCTCAACCAATGTGCCATAAAGCGTTGGCGAATCTTCTCCCGTGAACCCCGCCCTGCATCGCGGCTTCCACAGCGAACGGCGAGCGATGCGCCATCCGGCACTCCTCAAGTCCGCATGGTGGTGTCTTGAACAACGCAAGACAGTCAAGTTCCTGTCGCTGGAAGGACGCAGATGCAATGCTGGCGCGTTTCAAAATCTCGTTCGCGACTGCAGCCCAGGAAATTATCGGTCTTACACCTTCGAGCCCACGCGTCGGGAAATCTGTGCGGATCCCAAGCGAGAGCTCAGAAACTCTTCGCACAACAAGTCGGATCTTGCACTGCGGCGCAACCGGTGCACCACCCAGCCTGCGAAGTTGTTCGTTCTTGTCAATTTCATCCGTTGTGGCGGGGCCATGCAATATCCTTCGTCCAGAAGTTTCTGCAGCACTTCGCGATATATGGATACTGCTGCGTTGAACCTCCTCCGAATTCCCCCTTCCTTTCTCGCGAGTCGCAGGCCGCTCTTGGCGACTTCTGATTCTCGTTGGTGCACCAGGTATATGGGAATCTTCAACTTCTTCCGTGACGAGGTCTTATCGACGGCACCCCCACTGAAGAACCGAATAGGTGATCCGTGTGGCTGAACTGCTATGGATGCTGTCCTGCTCTGTAGTAGATCCACACCTGCACCTGTGGTTCCCCTTCTCTGCCGCGCCTCAAGCAGCGGACTCGCCGGCTCGGGCACTGGTTTCCGCCTTGAGCCTGGCGAAATGCATCCGGGTGTTCTCTCTGCAGCTCATGCTGATCCACCGGCCGCGAATCTTCTACGCACCGCCAACCTAACTGCGGCCGCGTACGCCGTGAGGCACGCCGTCCAGCAATGACCTCCGCAATGTTGCACGGGTCACTTGCGATGGCCGTGGCGCTCGTTGTTCGTCTGGAAGAATTATTCCATCTCCTTCGCCTTCGTCGATTATGTCATCACACTGGCCGGCGGGTCTCGACCCCTCGGTTGGTCCTTCTCAGTCTGCATTTCTGAAATGGCCAGCAGCGCGTCCCCTTGCTGACCCTCGGGTTGCTTGAAGCAGGGTGTATCTCGGCGTTCGTCTACGACCGGCTGGCGTTGGCAGCCCAGAGGAGCATCGCGACCCAAATCGCAATCTTGGCGTCGAGAGAAATACCGACGCGCAAGAGCGCCCGCCGCAATGCACGGACGGAGCCCGTCGATCGCGACGCAAACTGGAACTCCCTCGACGATGACGCGCGCACGTTTACCATCGAACCCTACGATATGGGAACCTGTGCTCCACTTGGCTGCGACTATAATTAAACCTTCAGTCGGTCTCTTGCGGAACAATGCCACATCACCTAGCTGATATTAACCAGCTAGGGGCTCTGCCTTGCGGAGCGCGCGTGGCCCGACCCCCGACGTCGCGCAGAGCAAATGCCTCGCGCGCAGCGGCGCGAATCGCCGCCTGACGAGAGCAGTCATCAGATCTGTCTTCAGCCACGTTAGCAAGCGCACCTGGGTCGAAAGCTTCCCCGCACGGGGTAGTCGTCCGAGAACCCATTGAGATGGTGAGAACCCCGCGCCTCGAGACAGATCATCCTCTGCGATGGCGACTTCTACATCACTACCTCATGAAATACGATGGCGCTGTCGTCGTGAACCACCTTCTTGAATACATTTTTTAATGGGCCACATTGCCACTCAACGCGTCCGACTTGCTCCGGGGGCTCAGCTCATGCGTCGCGAAAGCGACCCCCTGGCTCTAAACCCACCCGTCGCAGAAACATGAAAACACCTCGGTCGGGGAGTCCTCGCTCCAACACAATTCGTCAAGGTTTACCAGCCAATGCGCATCCATGCTGCTGGAATGCCGTGGGGTCACGTCCTTGAGAATGGCATGCCGCCCCCTTGCTGTGCAAATGTGACGCGCTGGAACGTAGTTCCCTGGCAGATGATGTTCAGGAAAATGTATATTTCCCCGCTGCTGCCCTTGACCTCGATACAATCGGTGCTGGCTTCGCGATTGAAGCAGAACTTCTCGGGCAAACCTGCCATATGAATTTGAACTAACGGCTTGAGGTGTTCACAAGACTCGCACCTGTAGTTTCTGTCTCTTCGATGTGCTCCGTTGACATGCGTGCTTGCCTCGCGAGCCGCATAAACACACGATTTGGCGCATGTCCGGGTTGCCGATGAATTCGCATAATGGCGACCCCCGCTCAAACAGGCATGTGAAGCCATGCCCTCCTCCGAGCTCATTCCGGATTCGGGTCTCCCAGGAGCAGTGGCTGCTCTAGGGTTTCCTGCTCTCCATCTCTGCGCTGATCTTGCGGTTCGATAGCGACGCCCTCGTCGTTCTCGACTGAGCCAAGCGCCACTCCTGTCCTCTCCGCTGCAGCTCCCGCCGGAACGGCGGTCGCAGCAAGACGGCCCATCCGAAGCTGATTACCGAGATCGCGCGGAAAGTCAGGACACTCGGGGGCTAGTGTCGGGGCCTGACTCTAGGTGAGAGTTCAGCGCATTCGTGTCATGAAGACTTGAGAGCGAGGAACCCAGTGACCAAACGCAGCAGTAACTGAGCCATTGTTCTGTGACAACTCCTCAAACAACTACGGATACTGCTGATGTTGTGGCTGGTGGCATGAGCGATGGTGGGATTGGAATGGCGCTCGAAGTCCTCTTTCTCCACGCGCGCGCCCCGGGCCGGACGAATCGCAACATCCTCCGCCGCGCTGGTCGCGCCGGCGGCCGCCGCAAAGGCGAGGCCGACGATGGGGCCCCTGAGCGGCATCCTGGCGTCCGTCGATGCCTGAGGCCAGTCGGTGGATCGGCGGCTCGGCTGCTCATGGCCGTCTTGGGTTTTCCCCCGCATTCAAGGTCCCCAGACCAGTGGCCACTCTCGGCGCAGGTCTTGCGCCTCGAGCGTTTCTGGATCCCCTGGAGACGACCCTCGCGCTCTTCCAGGGCCAGCGCTCCATTGCCACCGCCCTTAGACTATGGGGGCTGCCATCGGTGGCCTCATCCCCCGCCTCTGTTCTTGCCTCTTCCCTTGGCGCCAAGATAGGCTACCAGGTCCTCGCCCCAGCGCAAGCGCCGGATCATCTGAGAAGCTTTCCCCTCCGAGTAACCGTGTTTGACCTTTCCCTCAAGCACTGCGGCGTCAAGTTCGCGTCCGCGCGGCGCAGATGTCCAGGTGGCGCGCGGGCCCCCGCCACCCCAGATTTGGTCGTCTTTCCAAGCGTCCGCCCACCAAAACTCGTCAGCCCAGCCATACTCAAGTGCGTAGCCAGGCGCGTAGTATCCGTAGGGACGCAGTTCCTCGGGATACTGCCCCTCCTGCTCATGCCAGCTGTCGTCTGCAGCGTGATATGCCTGTGGCGGCCTAGAGTACCTGGCCTTGCCAGTGCCCTTGCCCTTGCTGGGGTTTCGGGGCGTCCATGGAGTGAAGGTGGAGCTCTTGCCCGAATGTCCCCTGCCCTTTTGGCGGATGTGGGTACGATCGTGTCGACGGATCAAAAGATCTTTGGTCTTATCGAAGTCGGCCACTTTTTCTGTCGATGCCAGTGCCATCCATTTCTCCGAAGATGAGTCCTGCGTGGTCCAAGAGAAGATATCCGAACATGTTGTCACTCATCGCACGGTCCGGGTCGAATTGAGAAACAAATTCAACCAGCGCTTTTTGAGTGGTATGTACGAAACCATCGACTCACCGTTTTGTCGAAACATTCGTCCGTAGGGTCTCTGTCCTACCTGGAAGAGGGTCTCGGTTTCCAGAGCCTTTGTGGGAAAGATCGATGCGTGTATCGTCGGTGCCAGTTGCTCGATCCATGCCTTAGTCAGAAGCGTGCCTTTGCCGATACCCATGGCTATATCGAGCGCGTTGCCTCTGATGCCCTCTATCACCTGACTGACGGCTGCGAAGACAATGTGTGGCTGCGGTTCTCCCGTATCAGGATCAGCAGGGACCAATGCGGCTCGCATGCGCATCTCCGTGCGGAATTCCCCTGTTCATGGAAGTTGTTCGCCTTACCGTCGTAGATGTACGAGCCAATCTTCGTCTCTGATCGTGTCAGCGAATCAGCATTCGGTCCATGGCGAAGAGAAAAACAGTGCCATGGCGCAGGCAGGCGGCGACACAGCCCAGAGTCCCCTCGCAAGGGTAACTGCCGTAGCAAGTGTAGTGTGGTCGCGAGGAACTCCCTGGGGGGACGAATCCTGAGAAGTGGTGCGGTGACAGAAGACCGTGCAGCAGTTCCGCTGCCAGTGTGATTAACGATGCGCTCTGTGCCACTTGCCAAAAAGTCCCCCTTGAAACCCAAACGGCAACGAGTGGCGCACGTACGTGTCATGCACACACGCACACCACATCACAGAATACGATTCAACCTTGATCGGTCGCATCTTTTCGATGGCGCAGATCGTGCGAAGCTGGCCGAGCATGGGCCACCAACGGCGTTCAATCTTGAGCGCCTGCGCTGGGGTCGCAACAACGTGAATGGAGCTCGAACCTACCGCTGCGAAGGGCGAGCAGGGGGGGAAACAGAGGGCCGGAGGAGTGGAGGAAGGAAGACGTCGAGGGGACGGGGAAAGGAAGGGAACGGCAACAAGACCGGTAACAAATACACCAACGACAGCGATACCGCAACCAAAACTGTGAGCGGTTACTAGTAGTACCAACAACAGTTGTCTCGTTGTCGCCGTCGACAGCCTCAGAGTCAGCGTCCGCGCACCATGGACCTCGTCCAGCCTCGTCCTCCACCAGGGGTGGACTACGGGGACCCGTCGGGGGGGCTCAGCGCGGGGGAGGAGGAACATCTGGCTGGAGATCGAGGATACATCGCGACACATCGGCGAGAGGGCGCCGACAGCGAGACCGCATTATTCTGAGAAGGGGGATGGCATTAGGCCTCTATCGGCGATCACTGGGCGAATGGGTGTCGATGCATCCCCCACTGAGCCTGTCTCCCTCACCTTGCCCCCTGGCTTTTGCGCAATAACTCCGCTATCCGGCGGCCCTTCGGGACGCTCCTGGCACCCCTGGAACGCCCTCGGCGAGGCGGAGCTGCTGGAACGCACCCCGAGGCCGGAAAGCTGCCGAGGACCAACGAAAGCACACGAAGACCTCGAACCTCGAGCCTATCCCCCCTGACCCGATGCTGCCCCCGAGAGGTCTGCCTCCCCAGCGGGACATGGAGGTGCGGCGGGGGCAGGGCACGGCAGGGCAGGGCCTTGCTCGAGTCCCCGGAGACGGCCAGCGCCTTCCCGCAGGCCGTCTGGCATTTCTGGTACTCGGCGATCTTGAGATAGCACCTCGGGCGGCAGACGAACGCCTCTCCAAGACGAAGGCAAGACGAGGATAAATCCGGATGAGGAGAGATCGAGAATCTCTGAGAGCGGCCGGGTCTGGAGGATGTACCGACGGCCGCGGCCTTCTCAGGGCGTTCTGGAACGCTCTGAAAGCGTTCTGGATCGATCTGGAGCAATTCAACCTCACCTTAGGCCGTACTTGCTCTCCTCGCTGGGTGAGACTGTCACGAGGCCAGGGGTCACGAGAGGGCAGCAACCTGCAAGCCAGCAGCGCGATCGCACGCGATCGCTCGGCTGCACAGGCCGTGGCGGCCCATCGGGCAGACGTGCCAGAGAGTGTTTCGGGCGCGGCACCTGCTGCGATGCGGCCAGTCCCGATCTGAATCACGCCCTCGGAGCACGGTTGTTGCAGGTGTAGGGAGAAGCGGCACCGCCACCACCTCAACTCCAGGAGCCAGGGAGGTCCTCCTGGTGGTGTGGTCCCCCTGCTCCGCTCGAGGCACCTCCAATCTCCAACTCAGAGAAGCATCATGGACCTCCGTGCTGGAGGTGCCCCGGCCCCCCAGAAGTGGTGGTACCGCTTCTCTCTCCTCCGATGCCGTGCCAGGGCCAGTCTGGGGAGCTTCAGACGATGATGCGCGTGAACGCGCAAGCGAATTAGGCAACGGTATGCGAACCATACCCTGCTGGTCAGATTTCTGAAGCGCCAGCTGGGATTCAGAACTCGAAGGAAGGCTCCAGCTAAGTGAACCCCAGCAGGGGCGTCCGATACCCCAGCACCGAGTGGACACCGCAGGGGTGGGGTTCGCAAACGGTCGCACACGAATGCCAGAAGAACCTGCGATAACAAGTGGAGGACCGACATTAGCAGCACCGCTGCGGGCAGCCGCTGCGGCGCAGGCAACCACTCCTGCCGAAAACAGCTCTAGCACGACGTTCCTCTGGAGTGAAGAGCGCTCTTTCGATGCACGCTGGAGCTCTGTGATCAGACATCTTGCCCAAAGCTGCACAAGGGGGCTGCTGCCGCAGGTCCTCCTCCTCCTCCCCCCACCTCCTCCTCCTCCTCCTCCTCCTCCTCTTCCTCCTCTGGGGAACCACATGTGAACCCTACCCCTGCAGGTCGGAAGTCATAAGTACGGGCGGGGGATCAGAGCTTGAAGAACGCCTGCGACCAAATGAGGCCAAAGAGTGACGTCCGCTACCGCAGCGCCGATTGGACCCGCGGGGGAGGGTTCGTAAGTTGTCGTACGTCCTCATCCCTCTTCTCCGTCTCCTCATCTGCATCCTCCTTTTCCTCGTCGTTTTGCCCCCCTTCATCCTCCTCCTCCTCCTCCTCCTCCTCGTCCTCTTCTTCCTCCCCTCCCCAAGCTCCTTCTCACTCTCCTCTAGTCCTCCTCCATCTTGTAGTCGGCACTCCCGATCCCTCACCTTTCTCCTTCGCACACCACCAATCGACAAGGCGAAGCAAGGCAGGGGAGGCAAGCAGAAGCACTTACCACACGCACAAGCAGGAGGGGAAGGATGTGCAGGGGGGCATATCAAAAACTTGAGATGTTTCGCCGTGCAGACCTGAACTTCGTCCACATCGCATCCCCGGCCCGACACCAACGACGACTGTGCGCCAAATCCCCCCCTCCCCCACCAGAACAAAACCCTCGAACGACGTTCCATGAGAAGGGGACGCATCTCTGGGCTGGAGAAGGCAAACTTCTCCGCCCTGTGTAAGATTCCAACGGGTCCAGCGCAGTTGGCAGGAGGGAGATGGGCCCTGTTGGCAACAGATCTTGGAACCCAGGGCTTTCCCCAAGATCTGCCAGCTTTTCATACATATTAGTGGTTGACAGTCTCTTGGAGCCATGAAGGGTCCTGGGGGTGGGAGAACACGAACAAAACACAACTCCATGGCTCTCTGTTCATCAAGGACCTCACGAGCGACGAACATGTCCATGTCCATGTCAATACCCTCGCGTTCTGGGCATCGAAGCGCGATCCCATGGATGCGCTCCGCGCGGGGCATCCGCGCAGAACCGCCTTGAATACGTGGGTGGGAAGCGCACGAGGGGCAAGGCTTCTTAGAAGCAGGGGTGCTTCTAAAAAGACTTCCCCCCTCCCTCATACACCCCCTCTGCGCGTGGCTGAATGGGGTCGCGGCCACATATTCCAGACCGCGAGGCCGTGGATCGTGTTCCCGCCCGCGAGGATACGTTTTTTTCGTGCCGAAGCTAGCACACCACCCTCTGTACCGAGAACGAGGCGGCGCGGCACGCAGCCATGTTCAGATTCGTCGACAACTGCAGCTGCTTGAACTCCTGGCGGTCGGGGGAGGGAAAATCGGTGTCGGGCGGAAGCTAGAGGGGGGGCAATGCTCGGGAGGTGGGTGAGGGGGAGGGGAGCGGAGTGGGGAGGAGGGGGGGGGAGGAAAGTGGCGGGAGGAAAGTGGCGGGGGCGGGCAAAAATTGGGCCCCTGAGGCCTCGAAGCTCCCACCCCGCGTCCAAAAGGTGGCGGAATGGTGCACCTCTCTTCACCCCCCCCTCTGCCCTCGTCAATTCTCCATCCTCCCTCTGAGGAGGAGGAGGAGGAGGAGATATAAGGAGGATGACCAGAAAAGGAGGAGAGAAAAAAAGGAGAGGAGGAGAAGCAGGAGGCAGAGGAGGATGATCGGCCCATCGAGGGGGCGCAATCGTGGCAGCTTGACGCGCCGCGGACCTGAGACCGAGCCCCTCACCTGTGCCTTTGCTCGCGCCCCGTGGAAGGAGCAGAGAGGCAGATGAGAAGGAGGCAGAGAAGGAGGCAGAGGAGGACAAGGCGGAGAAGGGGGGGGGAGAGGGGGGGGAACGAGACCAGAAGGGGGAGGACGGTGTCGTGCCGCACCCGGCGCCGCAGCCCCGCAGGCCATCGCCACAGAACGGGCTCTCGACAGACGCGCGGGCGTCGCAGCCGTGCGCTGACGCACGGGCGCGGGAAGGGGGGGAGAGAGAGAGAGAGAGAGAGAGAAAATGGGGCCAGAGGGAGGGAGCGTACGCGTATACATCGATGTATCGATGTACAGTATACAGCATGCCGTAGTCTGGCATATCATACATATCAGTTTCATACATGCCGATGCGTGTATGTACATATGTGTATATATATATGCATACACTACGCATATATACTAGAACCACGCGCGCTTCGCGCGCGCTGAGGTTCTAGTCGCTCCAGTGCTGACCGCATTGAAAGCAAAAGGAGGGATCATGAATAATGTGGTCCACATTCCCTGTTTCCGCCTGCCTCTTCCGCATCCCTCCTCCTCCTCCGCGCTCATCGGCCGTCGACCATTTTGGCCAGTAGAAATGCAGCGCTACATGCTATCGAATGCCATGATACTTCATACTACTCTATAGCGCACAACGTCACTGTGTAGTACGCACAGAAGTAGCATGATATACTCTACAATGCGCATTACATGCTATGCCATGCTGTGTTGTGGCATGCTATGATAATATTTGCGATGATACGCTGGGCCAAGTCATGCTATGTTTCCTGTGAAGAGCGATGGGATCGCGTTACATGGTATGCACAGAGATGGATGGCATGCTGGGCTACGCAACGCTATGCTATGCCACGTTCTGAGCTGCTAGGCTAAAATAGGAAGGATGACGATATGAACATCAACGGTGTTGTGATAGTTGCTGTGTACTGTTGTGCATAGCAATACGGTGCTGTTCGAGTCATTTCTATGTATTGGGATACCGTACTACGCCACGATGCGACATGACATTCAATGCAACGCCAAGCAATGTTACGTCATGACTTGCCGTGCTAGGCTCAGCCATACAACGTTATTGAAAACAATACTAGATGGCATGCGAAACCATATTGTGATATGCACCCACACGCTTCACTCTGTCGTGCTGTGCCGGGACATGTCATGTCATGCAATGCTGCGATGCCACGAAAGGCTAGGCAATCCTTGATACGCACCGAAATGCTTCGAGGTACATTTTCATGATGCTGTTTGCATTGCATTGCGTTTCATGGAAACGTATATATATATACATAAACATAAACATATATACGTATGCCAAAAGCCAATGTGATACCACTGATTTGGTTCGTGCAAAGAGCAATCAAGTATCCCCTCATCCTTGAGGACTACAGCTGTGAAGCCACGCCGTCAGAACATGCTGGCGGCAACGCGCCACCACCATGAGAGCCGTCGAAGCCACATGCCGGATTCATGAGTGCTGTCGCCACCGAATAGCTGCGGCTGTACCACGACTATCACAATTTGTCAACCGCGTGGCGGAGGAAATGTCTCTACGAAGCATGCGCGCATACAAAATAAGAAACAATCGACAATCGATCTCTCAGAAACACCTCTTCATCCTGAACTGTTGTTTTTTTGACGGACCGAGGGCCCTGGGAGGCCCCTGGAAGCTGGCAACGGAGAAACAAACTCAAGAATCGTTTCCCTCAAAACCCGCTTGCTTCATGGCGAGAGACGCTCGTCCTCAACATCGAGCCCTGGACCTCTCCCGGATTGCACCCTGATCGGGACGGACGAAAAGGTGGGGGTAATGAGAAGGAGGGGTTAACCAATCGGCTCACGGAGCTGGCCTCCCAGCTCTGGGGGGGCCAGCGTGTTGATGAAAGCGCCCAGTGGCGGGGCCGAAACCAGCTGCATGCAGCCCCATCCCTAAGACGACACCAGGACAAGGACAACCTCGATGCATCGGGATAAATCGGAGATCTCTGGGATCTATCGGGTCTGGAGAATGGATGTGTTGGGCAGCGCGGCCGCTCTAGATCGCTCCAGGACGCTCTGAGAACGTTCCAGAACGCTCTGGAACGATGTGTCACGCTGTCTCAACCTGGCACGGAGCACCGCCTTTCGTCTGACCCGCAGTCTGACCGCAGGGTGTCGGGGCGAGAGTCCAGGCGTGGACGTGGCGCCCGGGCCCTCCTCCGCTTGAGGATCCCTCCCAAAAAGCTCGTGGCGTTTCTCCCAGGGAAATCCGGATCCGAGGGCACGCCGCCCGCTCCTACAAATAAACCAGGGACGGAAATTACCCCCGTAGAAGCGGTCGGGATGATGGAGCTACGAATGGGAAATCACAAATCGGCGGATATCAGGCACTTGGTTACTCATCGGGGGGGACAACAATCTGGAATCGGCGATGCATCGCGGCGGCGAAGGGGACAGGCGACAGGCGATGGACTGGCGACAGGCGGCCGAAGGGGAACTTGGGGTTTCTCTTGGAGGCGGTTGCGGGGAGTCTTGGAAGCCTCTCGAAGACTTCTGGGGGGCTTCTTCGGACCTGAGTTGGGACTCTTCTGCGGGCCTGCTGGAGGCTCTGGGACGGCTCTTGAGGCCTGCTGGCGGTCCTGTGGGTTATCTTGAGGCGGAAGGCTCGATGTGTCGATTCGGGTTCTCCCTCAGGGCCCTTCTTAATTTGTCTTGGGGGCCTCTTGGGCCGTCTTGGGGCCCTATTGGCCCGTTTCGGTGCCCTCTTGGAAATATCTTGGGCCATCTCGGAACGATATTTGGAGCCACTTGAGCCGTCTTGCAGCGTCGGAAGCCCACGAAGGCGAGAACGCTCCAATCATTCCGACCACCACCAAAAAGGACATTCAATGTTTTGACATCTTGGGTCTTTCTTGGGATGCTTTTGGGACCCTCGTGGGGCCTCTTGGGAGCCTTCTGGAGGCTCAGGGGGGGCTCTTGGGAGCCTCCTGACGGTCTCGGGGTCATCTTGGCGGCCTCTTGGGCCGTCCGTCTTGGGGCTCTCTTGGGCCTGCTGGGCATCCTCTTGGGGGCCTCTTGGACCGTCTCAGGGCGATATTCCGGGCCTCCTTGGGCCGTTTTGGAGCGTCGGGTCTTGAATAAGCGAGAAAGCTGAAATCTTTCAAAACCGACAAGGGATCAGTTACTTGTTACAGATTGAGTCTTTCTTTGAAGGCCTCTTGGAGCCTTTTGGAAACCATTTTGCCCGTTTGAGGCCATCTTGGGCATCTGGGGCGGTCTTGGCGCGTTCTCACTCATCCTCTGGGCTCTCGAAAGCATTCCGAAGATGCCTCCAACGACTTTTGGACGTACCCAGACGCCTCAGGTCCAACGGACGACCTCCGAAATGTTCCCGGAGGCCCGGAACAACCATGCGCTGTCGGAGAGCTGCTCGGGAGCCCCCGCCCCTGGAATTACCCCGGTGTACACGCATGCTTGTGTATATATATATGTATATATATATATATATATACATGTATATTCACATGCCTAGATACATACATACATACATACGTGCATACATGCATGCATGCATGCATGCATGCATACATGCATACATACAAACATACATACATGCATGCATACATACGTACGCACACTTACATACATACATACATACATACATACATACATACATACATACATACATACATACACGACACATAAATTCAGACATGCATACACACATGCATTCACTCATGCATACACATACATACATGCACGTTTACATGCACACATACACATACACACATATACACATACATGCATACATACATGCACCGTTGCATGCATACGCTCATACACACATACACGCACACACATACACACATGCACACACGACACAAACATACATACATACAGACAGACAGACAGACAGACAGACGGACGGACATGCAGACATGCAGACGTGCATACATGCATACATGTGCACATGCATGCATGCATACATGCACACATGCATACATTCATGCTTGCATACATGCACACATGCATGCCTACATACACATACATACAGACATAAGTGCAACCATACAGACAGACAGACATATACACATATACATACATACACACGTTAAGACATGCACGCACACATACGTAAATACATGCATACACATATACAAACATACACACATACATACAAACATACCACCAAACAAACACACAAACAAACAAACAAACAACCATACACACAAGGGACTTTGGCCCGTCTTGGGGCCATCTGGAAGCCCTCTTGAGCCGTCTTGGTCTCCCCTCGGGCCGCCTTGGGGCCCTCCAGGGACTCTGGGACGAACTGTGGCAGTTTACGGCGCTTCTTGGGCCGTCTCTGGCGCACCAGAAGTGGAAAGTCGAATCCAACGAGAACGTACAACAACTCATGGGGAAACATGCAGAGTTCCTCCCCTGGAGTCGCCTCAGGGTCACCTTCGGAAGCGCTCTGGGAGCACCTTGGGGCGGAAACCTCGAAGTGCTCCTTCGTGCTCCCTCTCTTTGGCCCCTCTTGGGGTCGTCTGTGGGCACTCTTGGAGCCGCCTTGGTCTCCTCTCGGGCCGTCCTGCGGCCCTCCAAGGCCTTCTTCGGGACGTGCTGTGCTGTGGTAATTTACGGCGCCTCTTGGGCCGTCTGTGGCCCGCCGGAAGCCATGGGAACGCCGATGCAACGAAGACCTACAAAAAACTCATGGAACATTAACAATGGTGAGGTCGTGTCGCAATAGCCTGGTGAGAACCCCTTGGACCGTCTCATGGGCCTCTCGGGGCCATCTGGGAGCATCGTGGGACAGCATCTTCGCCTTTAGCTAGGACCCTCTTGGAGCCCTCTGGGGGCCCTCTTGGGCCCACATTTGCGGTCGGGGCTCAGTGCCGGGCCTGGGCCTGGTGCGCCGCTACACGTATAGATGTCTAGATATGCATGTATGGCGAAACGATAGCTACATATATACACACATTATGTATGTATGTATATATATATATACACACATACACATCGTTTATCCGCTGGCCCCCTTATGGGGCCACCAGACTGTAGGCCGGAGGTTCTCAATTTCCTGTGCCAATTGTAGCTTCCAAGTTCCACTGTTACAGTTAAGCTTCTTGCTGCTGACTGTTCCTTGTTAACCTATTTTTGCTTACTGTTTCTTGTTGATGGACCGCGCGAGGGGGGAGGCCCACAACGGGCATTTTTTTTACCCACGCCCACCACGCCCAAATCGTATTGTCTGAATTGCTGGGGTGGGTCATAATTGACACCCCTCACGCAAATCGGTCGGGTCAGGGTCCAATTCGCTTGGCGAAAAACCCAACCATATGCAGTTGTGAATATCTTCTTCGATGGAACTCCCTATGGAGGCGTGAAACGCTGTACTGGAAGGGTGAAGCGTAGGGAGCAAGGGCCGTGTTGGGTGGTGGCGGACGCATGCGGGCGGTGCCTTTTTGGGACATTCGGTGGAGCTCCCTATGGGGCCACGAAGCGCTGTACTGGGCGGGCGAAGCGCAGAGAGCAAGGGCTGTGCTGGGTGGTGGCGGACGCACGCGGGCGGTGCCACTGGGACCTCCGAGTGAGCCCCTTTCTGATGGGGCAACGCAGCGCTGTACTGGGTGGGCGAAACGCAGGGGGCAAAGGCTGTGCTGGGTGGTGGCGGACGCATGCGGGCGGTGCCACTGGGACCTCCGAGTGAGCCCCTTTCTGATGGGGCAACGCAGCGCTGTACTGGGTGTGCCAAACGCAGGGAACAATGCTTGTACTGGGTGGTGGCGGACGCATGCGGGCGGTGCCACTGAACCTTCGGTGGGGCTCCCTATGGGGCCAAGGGCTGTGCTGGGTGGTGGCGGACGCATGCGGGCGGTGCCACTGGAACCTTCGGTTGAGCTTCCTATGGGGCCACGAAGCGCTATACTGGGTGGGTGAAACGCAGGGAGCAAGGGCTGTGCTGGGTGGTGGCGGACGCATGCGGGCGGTGCCACTGGGACCTTCGGTGGAGCCCCCTTATGGGGCCACGAAGCGCTGTGCTGGGTGGGCGAAACGCAGGGAGCAAGGACCGTGTTGGGTGGTGGCGGACGCATGTGGGCGGCGCCGCGGGGACCTTCGGTGGAACCACTTTTGTATGGGGTCACGAAGCGCTGTACTGGGTGTGCGAAACGCAGGGAGCAAGGGCTGTGCTGGGTGGTGGCGGGCGCATGCGGGCGGTCCCACTGGGGGCTTCGGTGGGGCTCCCTATGGGGCCACGAAACGCTGTGCTGGGTGGGTGAAGCGCATGGGAGAAGGAGGAGGGAAGGGAGAAAGGACGTGAAGAGGAGAAGAGAAAAGGAACGCGGGGACCGTCTCTTCAAAACAATGACCCAACACCGCAGGATGATTGGGAAACTTATCCGGACGAAAGACCCAACAATATGCAGTTGTGGGCACCGCAATTGTGAATCGATTCTTCGGCGGAGCCCCCTATAGGGCCACGAAGCGCTGCACTGGGTGGGTGGGGGGGGGCGCATGCGGGCGGTAGCACTGGGGCCGTCGGTGGAGCTTCGTATGGTGCCACGAAGCCCTGTACTGGTGGCGGACGCATGCGGGCGGTGCCACTGGGACCTTCGGTGGGCCCCCCTATGGGGCCACGAAGCGCTGGACTGGGTGGGCGACGCGCAAGGAGCAACGGCTGTGCCGGGTGGTGGCGGACGCAAGCGGGCGGTGCCACTGGCACCTTCGGTGGAGCCCCCCGTGGGGCCACGAAGCGCTGTACTGGGTGGGTGAAGCGCAGAGAGCAAGGGCTGTGCTGGGTGGTGGCGGACGCACGCGGGCGGTGCCACTGGGACCCTCGGTGGAGCCCCCTATGGGGCCACGCATCGCTGTACTGGGTGGGTGAAGCGCAAGGAGCAATGGCTGTGCTGGGCGGTAGCGGACGCATGCGGGCGGTGCCACTGGGACCTTCGGTGGAGCCCCCTTTATGGGGCCACGAAGCGCTGTACTGGGTGGGCGAAACGCAAGGAGCAAATGCTGTGCTGGATGGTGGCGGACGCATGCGGGCGGTGCCACTGGGACCTTCGGTGGAACCCCCTATGGGGCCACGAAGCGTTGTACTGGGTGGGTGGAACGCAGGGAGCAAGGGCTGTGCTGGGTGGTGGCGGACGCATGCGGGCGGTGCCACTGGGACCTTCGGTGGAGTTCCCCATGAGCCACGAAACGCTGTACTGGGTGGGTGGAACGCAGGGGGCAAAGGCTGTGCTGGGTGGTTGCGGACGCATGCGGGCGGTGCCACTGTGACCTTCGGTGGGGCCCCCTATGGGGCCACGAAGCGCTGTACTGGGTGGGCGAAACGCAGGGGGGCAATGGCTGTGCTGGGCCGTGGCGTACGCATGCGGACGGTGTCACTGGGACCTTCGGTGGAGCCCCCTATGGGGCCACCAACCGCTGTACTGGGTGGTGAAACGCAGGGAGCAAGAGCTGTGCTGGGTGGTGGCGGACGCATGCGGGCGGTGCCACTGGGACCTTCGGTGGAGCCCCCTGTGGGGCCACGAAGCGCTGTACTGGGTGGGCAAAACGCAGGGAGCAAGGGCTGTGTTGGGTGGTGGCGGGCGCATGCGGGTGGTCCCACTAGGGGCTTCGGTGGAGCTCCCTATGGGGCCACGAAACGCTGTGCTGGGTGGGGGAAACGCATGGAAAGGGGGAGAAGGGAGGAGGAGGGGGAAGAGGAGGGGAGGAGGAACGTGGTGACCGTCTCTTCAAAAGGAGGACCCAACACCACAGGATGGTTTGGAAACGTAAGGGAATTGCTACATTTCTGAATTTCGGTGGCGCCTCTCACTCTGATCGGCGGGGTCAGGGTCCAACGCCATACGGAATTTAACACTTTTCTGAAATTCGGTGGCACCCTGCACGCAGATCGGCGGGGTCAGGGTCCAACAACACATGGGATGTGCAACATTTCTGAATTTCAGTTGCACCCCTCACGCAGATCGGCGGGGTCAGGGCAGGGTCCAAAAACACATGGGATTTGCCACATCTCTGAAATTCGGTGGCACCCCTCACGCAGATCGGCAAGGTCGGGATCCGCAAACATGCTGGAGTTGTCACATTTCTAAAATTCGGCGGCACCCCTCACGCAGATCGGCGGAGTCAGGGTCCAAAAACACAAGGAATTTGCCACATTTCTGAAATTCGGTGGCACCACTCACGCAGATCCGTAGGGTCAGGGTCAATCAATACAAGGGATTTGCAACATTTCTGAAATTCGGCGGCACCCCTCACGCAGATCCGTAGGGTCAGGGTCAAACAACACAAGGGATTTCCAACATTTCTGAAATTCGGCGGCACCCCTCACGCAGATCCGCAGGGTCAGGGTCCCGAAACTGCGTCACGGCGAAACCATAGCCTAATGACTTCGCTCTTCCATGCCCCATTCTCCGAGAGAGGGGGCCGGCGGCAGGGGGCGAAGCCCTTACGGATAAATACATGTGTATATATCTATATGTGTGTATGCAACCATGCAATCTTAGAAGAGAGAGAGAGAGAGAGAGAGAAAGAGAGAGAGAGAGAGATAGAGGGAGAGAGAGACAGAGAGAGAGAGAGGGAAAGAGTGAGAGGAAGAAGGAGACAGACAGAGAGATTAGCAGAGCGGGGTGCAGCATGTCCTCTACATGTTCTGCAGGGACCTCTGGCGGCAAGGCACTGTAACGCAACAAACACTTGAATTTGAACAGACAAACCACAAATTGAAAAGATCCGCGAAGGGGGAACGGAGAGGCCGATGCACACGTGGGAGAACGAGTATATTATGCTAGGGCACGGCTGCTTGAGGATATCTGTGCAACCGGCTGAGGGACAAACGCTTTCTGGACACGCGAGCTGACCTTGCGTACGTGCATCGATCAAGTCCGTCTCCCCAGCATGCAGGTGTGACAACGCATGCATCCACTAAAATGCCGATGCGAACACCTGCTAATCAGCATTGCATGTGCATGACAACGACTTTCCGACATGATACACTGCGCAAGGGCCGTTTACGGATGAGATGCGTATACGTTGGTAGACAATGGTATCGCCGGTATCGCCTGGCCACTTTTAGGAACGCGTCAGGAACTACTTGATTCAATTCAAGTCCGTTGTGGGGTGGGACGCGGAAACAGATCAAACCAAGAGCATGGTAGTTGTGGGACACTCGTGGACTGAAGCAATATTTCGTATGTAATGCTAGCCACCGTGGACCCCTAACAATGTGTTTCTAGAAATACATGTTGTGCAATATACGTGGTGCAATCTCTGTGGTGCAATTCACTTGCCGAACTTGAAATTGTCCACTCCACTGCTCGCGCAAACATCCCACCCACCCACCCGCAACTTGGTTTGCAAAATCTCTTACGACCGTGACGGTGGGTACCAGATGGCACTTGGCAGCGACAGCGACGCCGAGAACGACAGCCACAACGACGACGACGACGCCGCCGACAACGACTACGACGACACCGACGGCGTCTCCAACGACTTCGACGCCGCCGACAACGACGACGACGACGTCGACACCGACGACGACGACGCCGACGCCGACGACGGCGACCATGACAACGACGACGACGATGACGATGCCGACGACGACGACGACAACGACACCGACGACGACGACGTCAACGACGCCGACGACGACGACGACGACGACGACGACGGCGGCGACGACGACGACGCCGACGTCGACGACGACGAAGACGACGACGACGCCGACGCCGACGACGACGACGACGAAGACGACGACGACGTGGCCAACGAAGACGACGACGAGGGAGGAGGGAGAACGACGACGGCGACAACGACGACAACGACGACAACGACGAGGGAGGAGGGAGGACGGCGACGACGCGAACGACGAAGAAGGAGGAAGGACGGCGACGCCGACGACGACAACGACGAGGGAGGAGGGAAGACGACGACAACGACGAGGGAGGAGGGAAGACGACGACGACGACGACGACGACGACGACGACGACGGCGACGAAATAGGAGGGACGACGACGAGACGCCGACGACGGACGACGACGACGACGAGGGAGGAGGAGGAAGGACGACCACGGCGACAACGACGACGGAAACGACCACGACGCCAAAGAGGACGACGACGACGAACACGAGGAAAAACAGAGGACAACGTAGGCGACGACGACGACGACGACGACGCGGGAGGAGGGAGGACGGCGACGACGACGACGACAACGACGCAAGAGCGCGCGCGCAGGCTTTTGTTGAAAATTCGTGTTGCGAAACCTTGTGTTTTTGTAGGTTTTTTGAACACACGGTTTTGAACTCCTTCCGAAACCGATGGGTGTCGAAGGATTTCGGCATACGCGCGCGACGACGCGCGCGTCTGCACTTCGTCCCATCTGTTGCAGAGGATTCTCGCGACGGCACACGCGCAAGGGCGTTCGACAGATTTCGACATGCGCGCGCGCGAAGCCCGCTTGGTAGCATTTTGTGAAAATCTTGAAAAACCAGTGGTTTTCTCAAGATTTCGCAAGAGCTCGCGCGTAAGCTTTTTTAGCAAATCAGTGTTGCGACACCCTGTGTTTTTGCATGTTTTTTGGACACTCGACTGCGAAATCCGTCCGACACCAAAAATTTTTGAAGGATTTCGGCATGCGCGCGCGACGACGCGCGCGTGTGCACTCCGTCCCATTTTTTGCAAGGGATTCGTGAAAACGTGTTATGCTCGAACAAAAGATGTCCCCGCGTATTGCTTCACTACACGGGAACCTCAGGGGGACCGATACCGGCCTCCAGGGGATAGTGTAAATTCATAGTTAGCATGGACATGCGGTCATAATCATAAATGATTTACATACCCGAAAGGGGGACTGATAACGCCGGGGGGGTAGAGTCTATTCTCTTCTTACAAAGGAAAATCGACGTTGTGCAATACATGTGGTGCAACTTATGCGGAAATGCAAATATGAGCAACCTATGTGGTGCAGTCTGCGTTGTGCAGAACGTGTTGTGCAGTGTATGTTGTGCGATCCATGATGTGCAATACTGTGTGTGCAATATATGTGGTCCAATATGCGGTACAACACTATAGGTTGTGAAATCTATGGGAAATTACCTAGGACATGCAATATGTTGTGTACAATCGACGTTGTGCAATCTAGGTGTTGCAATCGATATGGTGCAATCAATGTGGTGCAATGCATGTGGTGCAATCTATGTGATGTGCAATCGCCCTGGTGCAATCTATTTGTCGCGGACTATGCTGTGCAATCTACGTGGTGCAATCTAGGCCGTGCAGTCTATGCGGTGCAACCTATGCGGTGCTGTCTGTGGGAGGCGGCGACTGGGCGCAACGGGGCGGAAACAACGACGGCGAGCACGGATCCACCAGACCGACCCCCAGGCCCAGACGACGGGCGGCGACGAAGCGGCGACGGGGTGGCGACGGCGGCCACATAGCCGCCAAACCGACGGTCAGGGCCAGACGATGGGCGGCGACAAGGCGGCGACGTGGCGGCGACGGCGGCAACAATAGTCGCCAGACCGACCATCAGGTACAGCTCCTTACAAGAGAAGTAGGAAACCATAAATGCAAGCACTGTTTGGGGAATATTGCATTGGCTGGGGATATCGAAGACGCGAGAAAAAAGACCGCGCTTGACCACCGACGGTTAAGTCACGAATGTGGCAGTCTGAGGCGAGGCCGAACATGGTTTGGACACCATCGGGTCTCAAACTTCTCCTGCAACGACCAACTTCACGTGCCTCCAACGATGGACGGACCTATACTCGATTCAATCGATCTTTCTGTTATATATGTACTAGAGCCATCGCGCGCTTCGCGCGCGCTCAGGTTCTAGCCTAGGCCGGGGGGGTGCGCTGGAAGATCTTGGACAGCGCTATCAAGCCGGAAGGTGATGTTCTGCAATCTGAAGCCGTTACCACCCTGGGGCCACATTGCAGCAGGAAGCCGGAAGCCTCCCGGGGGCCTCCTGGAGGCAGTTCTGATGCATCGAGGGCACTGTTGGGCTATTTTGGAGCCCCTTATTCTTCTCCTGGGGGCCTTTGGGGGCCTCCTGGGAAGCCTTAGAGGGCCTCATCGGACCAATTGGGAACTCTTGGGCCCTCCTTAGGGCGGAAGGCTCTGGTGCTGGGTCCGCGTTCCCCTTCTCAAGCCTCACTTGGGGCCGTCTTGGAGCCTTCTCGGGCCGTCTTGGGCGCCTCAGGCACCGTCTTGAGGCCCTCGTGGGCCGTCTTGGGGCCCTGTTGGAGGCCTCTTGGGCTATCTTGGAACGATCATTGGAAGCCTCTTGGGCCGTCTTGGAGCGTCGGGATGCCCAAAGGCTGAAACCTCGAAAGTCAATCAAACATTATGGCAAGACAATGATTTCTTCCTCTTGGGGCCTTCGGAACCTCTTCGGCCCCCTGGGGAGCTTCTTGGGACCTCGTGGGGCCTGCTGGGGGCTTTTCGGGGCCTCCAGAGAGTCTCTCGAGGTGGATAGCATGGATTTTCAGTCCGTTATACCCCTCTTGGCCTCCTCTTGGGGCGTCTTGGAGGCCTCTTGGACAGTCAGAGGCAAATTCTGGTGTAATCTCGGGCCGTCATTAATCGTTTTCGCGGTCTGGAAGCTCCATTTCTGGCGATCCGGGGCCGTCTTCGGGCGATTTTGAAGAGCCCCCGGCACCCACCACACGGATTGCGCGCCAGAAGGACGCGGTTGCACGTGCCCCTCTGTGGGAGGATTCGGGCAACACCACGCCCCCCCAGGGCGACTGGATTTCTCACGCGGATCGTGTCCCAGTGGGAGCTCCACCGACAATCCGAAAGCCCACGTGCGTAGGCCGCCCTCCAACCCATGGGGGTACACCCCTGACCTCGACCATGAGTCCGGGGTGTTTGTGTTACTACCTGGCACCCCGCAGCATGTTTCTGTGGAGCCTCGGGAAGCTTTGAAATGGACCTTGCAGGACATAGACACGAGACCTCTCATACGCTCATGGGTGCCTACTGGGACGCTTCCGGGGAGCCTTTTGGAAGCATTGTGGAATGTTTGGGACCTCTCCAGGCCTTCCTATGGAATCCTTCTGGGCCCGTCTTTGCTTGTCTGGGGGCCCTTTTCGGCCGTCCCGGGTCCCTCGTGTCCTGTCATGGGGATCTGAGCCCGTCTTGGGGCCCTCGTGGGGCCCTCCCCGACCATGTAGGGATCCTCTGGTGGCCCCATGGCGCCCCCTGGGGACTCTCTTGGGCCGTCTTGGAGCTCTCTTGTGCTGCTCGACGCTCTCATGAGGCCGTCTTGGGGCCTTCTTACTGAAAAAGCGAATGTCCAAAAAATATACGTTTGTCCATGGGAAATGCTGGATTGTTTCTCGTAGGGTGCCTTCTCGGCGGCATCTTGGACCGTCTTGAGGGATTCCTTTTGGGTCTTTTTTGTCCCGTCTGGCGTCGTCTGGGGGCCCATTTCGGCCGTCCCAGGTCCCTCTTGGCATCTGAGCCCGTCTTGGGGTCCTCGTGGGGCCCTCCCCGACCATGTATGGATCCTCGGGTGGCCCCCTCGAGCCCCCTGGGAACTTTCTTGGGCTGTTTTGGAACTATCTTGTGCTGCTCGACGCTCTCTTGAGGCCGTCTTGGGGCCCTCTTGGGCTGTCTGGGGCCGCTTTTGGGAGCCTTTGGGGCCGACATGGCCGCCGATAGGACAAAAGAAGCGAATATCCAGGAAATGTGCGACTCTCCAAAGAGATGCTGTTCTTTTACCCTTCGGGGGCCTTCTCGACAGCCTCTTGGACCGTCTTGAGAGAATCCTTTTGGGCCTTTGTTTGGCCCGTTTGGAGGGCCATTTCGGCCGTTCCGGGTCCCTCTTGGCCCATCATGGGGATCTGAGCCCGTCTTGGGGCCCTCGTGGGGCCCTCTCCTATCACGTAGGGATGCTCCGCTGGCCCCCTCGGGGCCCCTGGGGACTCTCTTGGGTCGTCTTGGAACTAGCTTGTGCTGCTCGACGCTCTCTTGAGGCCGTCTTGGGGCCCTCTTGGGGGCCTCTTCGGCAGTCTGGGGCCCATTGTGGGAGCCTCTGGGGCCGTCGCGGCCGCTGTTAGGACTGAAAAGCGAACATCCTGGAAATATGCGCTTTCCCATGGGAAATGCCTAATGTTTGCCCCTTGGGGGGCCTTCTCGGCGGTCTTTTGGACCGTCTTCAATGCCTCTGTGGCCGTCTAGGAACAGGTCTTGGAATGCCTTCGAGCGCTCGTCGGCCGTCTTGAGGCCATGCTAGTGCGCTCTGCAGCCATCTTCCAGACAACCTCGGGCGCTTTGGAAGCCTCTTGGGCCAGCTTGGGGGCCTCTCGGGGGGTCCACGGCTCCTTCTGGACCCTCTTGGAGCCCTCAAGGACCCCCCAGTGGCGTCGGTTCCGGGCCCTTCCCGAATCTACTCCGATATATATATATATATATATATATATATATATATATATATATATACACACTAGAACCATCGCGCCCGCTTCGCGCGCGCTCAAATTCTAGCTAGGCTTCATAGGCTAACTCATGTAATCTCATTTGGGTCGCTTCTTGCGTCCAAGGACTCCCTTGGAGGCCCTGCGCAAGCCTCGGAATCGTAAAGAAGGGGAAGTGCGGAAACACAGAAATCATGAATTAATTTCCTTTAGGTATTCAAAGGTTTGGGGCCCTCAAAGGCTTCCTGGGTTCTTTTTGGGAGGTGAGGTGGGTCTGAATTGTGGTCTGTTTTGCAAGAGGACCGGGGGCCAAACTTGACAACAAAAAAAAGAATTGTGGGATTTCCATTTTTTTCTACAGTTCCTCGGCGCTGTTCGGCGCTGTTTTTTGTTTGTGCCTCGCGGGTTTTGTTAGCCGGGCCCCTCAGAGGTGTGGGATCTTCTGGACCCCCTGGGGGTTCTGGAGGCCTCCTGGAGGCCTGGAGAGCCGTCGGAAGGATGTTTTGGACTGCTTCGGAGCGTCTTGGGCCGTTCTTTACGTTCTCTCGGGGTCGTCATGGGCTGTCCTACGGCGTCTTGTGGTCTCCCCAAGAAGCCGGGAGGCAGGGTACTGGCCAGATGTCAGGGGATGTGTAGGACCCCCGAGTAGGAGTTCCACTTCGACAAAAAAAGAATTCCTGGAATTCCTTAAAACATCTTCGATCTTTGAGGGTTGGAAGCGGGAAAACGTGAGAAGGCGAAAAACATCGGAAAAACCATGGCAATCAACGATGTTACTCTCTTTGGGCTCTGTCGGGACGGCTCTCGCAGCTCTCTTGGGCTGTTCTTGGAGCCTCGTCGGGATCTTTCTGGGGCCTCTCAAAGATCGGGGGTGTGTTGGGGGCCTCTGGGTGGTCCCGGAGGCCTCTCGGAAGTCTCTGGAAGCCTCCTGCTCCTGCTCTTGGGCCCATCTTGGACCTGTTCTGGGGTGGTCTGAAGCTGTCCTGGGTGCCTCTTCGGCAATCTTGGAGCCTTCTTAGCCCGTCTTTGGGCCGTCCTGAGGGTCTCTTGAGTGGTCTTGGGGCGGTCTTGGGAGCCTCTTCGGCGCTCTTGGACCATTGGAAGCTCGAAAATGCGAGAAGCCAAAATCATTGGAAATAAACAAATGACAATCTACGATGTTGGCCTCTTCGGGCCGTCCCGGGACGCCTCTCAAACCTCTCTTGGGGTCTCTTCGAGGCCACCCGGGAGCCTCGAGAGCCGTCGGAAGGCTGACTTGGGCTGCTTGGGAGCGTCTTGGACCATCGTTTCGCATTCTGGGGGCTCCTGGGAGGTGTCTTGGGCCCTCCTGGGGCGCTGTGGAGGCTCCCCAGAAAAGGCCGGGGGAGCGGTACCGGGAGCGTCCCCGAGATGTCACAGGGGAGGTGTGGGACCCGGGGCCGGGGGGGGCGGTGTTTGTTTATTCATGTATTATATATTCGATGCTATTATATATATATATATATATATTATCATGTGCACCTCTCCGAGGGAGTAGAGCTCAGAGGCGATTAATGCGTACGCGCCGCGTCGTTCGCGATTTTTCTGGCCGTTTCGCCAGGGATATCGGTGGCACCCATCACACAGATCGTGACGTCAGGGTCCAAAAACAAATGGGAATTCCAACATTTTAACATAAACCCTTCAAAACACACCATTTAATTTCAATAGTTTTGACCCCGATTCTCAGAGAATGGCGGTTTCGCTTGAGACATCCTCCCAAAATCGAGCCCCGACGTACCTTTTGGTACCCCAGACCCCGCCGCAGAGCCTCCTGAGGGCCTCCTGGAACCTCCTGGGGTTTTCTGTACCTTCTGGTACCCCAGACCCCGCCTCGGAGCCTCCTGGGGGTCTCCTGGAGCCTCCTGGGGCCTCCTGAGGCCTCCTGCGGCCTCCTGGAGCCTCTGGGGGCCTCCTGGAGCCTCCTGGGGTCTCCTGGGGCCTCCTGAGGCCGCCTGGGGCCTCCTGAGACCTCCTGGGGCCTCAGAACTACATGCACACACACAGACACAAATCACACCCCTCACATCACACGCTAGACAAATGTAACACACACACACACACACAACACCTACAACGCACAGAAAACACGCACAACACAGAGCACACATCACACACACCCACACAACACTCACAATCCTGGGGCCTCCTGGAGCCTTTTCCGGTATCCAAGTCGGGCCTCCTGCGATTTTCTGTGGGGCCCTGGTACACACATCGCAAGGTGTGGCAACCCCACTTGCGCTCGAGTGCGACCTCGCTATTGCATTTCACTCCCAGCAGCTATCCTCCTCCTTTCCTCCTCCTTCTCTTTCCCTCCACAAGTTGTCTGGTGAAACAAATCGTCTGGTGGGACATCCTGGGACATCCTCGCAACGCTGACCACGGAGAGACATTGCCCTCGTCGATCCTCCTGCTCGGTCCCCAATCTTTTGGGGGGGGGCTCTCACTCGATCTTATACTCTTCTGCGTTCACCTCCTGCCTCTTCCCCTTCTCTTAGGCACGCCCTGGCGGCGCCGCCCCAGCTTTCCCTTCTCCATCTCCGCTCCCGCCGTCATGGTGTCTTCCTGCTTCTAACGCCCTTTCAGTTTTTCTTTATGAGCCTGGGCACACACGTGCCACTTGTATATAGATGCCAACGCCTTAACACCCTATGCGATATGATACTTACATGAGTCCAAGCTGCGATGGAGCTGGACACCTAAGCAATGATGACTGCCCAGATTATACAACCCATGCGCATACAGACTCATGTGCTGACCTATTGGAGTGGGAAATGTTAGACAGCCGCTGGGAACAGACGACTCCATCTCCCAGTGTCGGGGCGCATCGGCTGGCGGGCCTGACTGGCAGATGTAGAACGGCCCATCATCTCCCCGTAGCTCGCTGCCTGTAGTATCACACAACTCCGACTAAACTCTGGCAACACCAGTCTGCCGATGCTCGCCATTCGTTGTTTTGCTGCATCTCGTCCTCCGCCCGCTCCTCCGATGTGTAGCCCGGACCAACGAGGACAGGGGAACATCGCGCATCCGCAGCGCAATCCCTCCCGCATACCCAAAAATACAGACTCCAACACAGAAACACAAGCACACACACACACACGCCCTGGCTTCCTCCGCCGGACAGGTGACGTCACCGCAGCGAATGATAGCAACGGGGACGCAAGCTATGGCATGAATTCCACCTGGCGTTGCAGGTGGTGAGCTGTGCATGGCAAGCAGGCGCGTGCAGGGTAAACGCGCCCAACTGCGCGCAAGCTGAAATGCATTCGAATGCGCATTCAGCGCGGTCGGAGCCGAGCCGTGGAACCCTGGATAGGGGTCATGCCTAGGCTTGGCGGCGAGCCCAGGGGGAAGTGAGCGGGAGCAGGTCTTCCAAGAAGGCGGTGGGGCTTCTCAGAAGCCCTCGCGCCTTCTGAGAACTGAGAAGTCTTCGAAGCCGGCGCGAAGGCTTCGGAGAAGCCCCGCCACCTTCTCAGAGGGCCTGCTCCTCTCACTTCCACATCTAGGCTCTAGGCTTGCCGTCGAAAGGCGAGCAGCACGAAAGCAGGAAGAGAGTACGCAGGGCTCGCCGCGCACAAACGCACAACTAGCGCAACACACGTCGTGCCACGGCGGGGGGCAGCCCGGCCAGGGGGCCTGCGATGGCAAGGCTCGGAAGGGGAGGCGCTCACGAGCGGCGAACCTATCGCGGGCGCGATCCCGCGGATATAGCCATAAGCTTCTTGGATGGGGTCGGAAACGATGGGGTCGGAGGATCGCCCGTTATCGCTGATGGATGCACCGACGCTGCATTGCCACTGCATCGCCGATGCATTGGCGATGCAGTGGCGACACTGGCGATGCATCAACACCGTCGGCGTTGAGGAAATCGGGCTCCGCATCAAACCGCATCGCCGATGCATCTGCGATGCAGCAAGATTCTTCGACCCCCTCTACTCCGACCGTGTGGAGGAGGCCTAAATTAACGGTCGCACGGATACGTTCCGCACGGGGCATCCACGACAAAACGCCTCGCATCCGCGGGATCGCGGCCCAAAGGCCCAGCACGCGAGGTCGCGGATGCGGACATGTGATTCGCCCACGAGGCGCCAGGCGTCGCCACACGCAGCGCAAGCCCGAGGACCCTCAAATCTGTCGCGGAGGTCGCTCGGGACGGGGAAGCAGCTCGGAGCGAGAGGATCGTGTGGGAGATCGGGGCCGACCCCTCGCAGAAGACCTCCATGCCAACGGTTTGAATGTTTCTTCCCTCGGTGATCCTCACACCGCGTGCTGGCAGCAACGTGGGCTTTTCCACTGGCCGAAACCATTCAGAACGGCACAGGCGGCGTGACGAGGGCCGACGCAGGCTGCGGGCTATCGGCGGAGCTGGACGGGGCAACACACACACAGAGAGAGCTAACACACGTCCTTGGGCGTCGCAGAATGGGGAGCGATAAATGGGGGGAGGAGAAATGTGCACTTTCTGTGAATTGTACCCCGTACAATGTATGGTATTTGTGTTTCGGAGGGATGTAGTATTACTTGTTACAGTTGTGTTCCTTTTTCCCCCTCCCCGTTCCCTCTTCCAGCATGCAGTGTGCAGAGCATGTAGCAGCATGCAGCATGTAGAGCAAGCATGTTAGCACGTACCGGCGCTGTTTCAGTTCGAGTGGCCTCTCGCACTTGGAAAAGATACGCTTGCTTCTCCTTGGCACGCAGAGCGATAGCAGAGGAGAAGGTCGATAACGATTTGGCAGAGATTCGCAATCAGATTCGAGCTGGGACGAAGACTTCGAATGCTTCGACCAATTGACAGTGGTAGTGGACCTACGGCTTCACGGACAAGTACGAGATGGGGCCACCCCTGGGTGGCAAAGGATCCAAGAGCAAAGACGACAGCGACCGATTTCAGCATGCTGGCCGGGCACCCGAGTTCGATGGCTTCATGGAGAACTAAAAGGCCTTCTGAGAGAGGGTGGAGATCTGCCCAGCCAGAGCTCGAGGCAAATGAGCAGAGAAGCTTGTTGGTCTCGAGATCATGCAGGGCCTGCGGGGCCGAGCATGAGACATTGTGGAGGATATGGACATCACGGAGATCGAGGCTGACAAGAACTGGATGAAGATATACTCGAGGCCCTGGATCGTGCATGCAAGTATGATCAAGTGACGGAGAAGCCGACCGATGTCGAGAGTTTCTTTTTCCGCGTGGCTCGGAAACCGAAGGAGACCTTGATGGATTACTTGACGAGGTTCCGCATGGTGGAGAGGAAGATCAGGACGCACAGCATCACACTTCCAGACAAGGTGTTGTGTTGGTTCCTCCTTCGCCGAGCTGGACTGGACAAAGAAGGCAAGCAGCTCATCATGAACCATATTGGTGACAACCTCAACCTCGACAAAGTCGAGGGCCAACTGAAAACGACGTTCGGCCTGGATTCGATGCCGTCGAGTCGAGGAAGTTACGGAGCTGCAGCGTACCACCTGGACGAGGTCCACGACGACGACGACGACGACGACTACCAGGAGGACGCGTACCATGGGGAGGAGGACGACTCGACTACCCTAGCTATGACGACGGCGGTGGCGAACAACAGATGGAGCAGGGAGGTGCTAGCGGCTTTGGACGAATACGATGAGATCATGGCCACCTGCACGGACGCTCGCAAGAAGATGAACGACATGAGTTGGCCAGGGGGTTCTATCCCGTCATGACCGTAGTCCAGCCGCCTGCGCCAGCCACGAGGAGCACATCACCGATCATGCCAAGAGGTGGCGGCCACCCACGTGGAAAAGGCAAGCCAACCAAAGGGAAGACATAAAAAGGCAGAGGCAAGACTGGCTACCAGAGAGGACCACGACCAGGATTTCAAGGAATCGGCCCACCAAAGGCCACAGAAGAGACGAGATGCCTGAGGTGCGGAGAACGAGGAGACTGCGCTCAAGACTGTCCTCATCAGAGCAGGGAGCGAGCCCACGTGTCTGGGGACGCAGCAGACGTCATGATGATTACCGACATGGAGCCCGACCAGATCTACATCGCTGACGACCAGGACCCAACCGAGGCTGTACACGACAGTGGAGCTACCAGCGTGATAGTTGGAGACGAGACTCTCAGAGCGTACTGATAGAGGCTGGTCGCGAAGCGCTTCCTGATGAAGAATATGATGTTTCCAATGTTCCAAGAGTTTCAGGTATGGCACCGATGCGACTGACGAGGCGACGGTATGTGCGCTGGTTTCCTCGTCTCCTGGGGGGCGGTTCATTGAGATTTTCACGTGCATCATACCAGGCCGCACACCGCTCCTGTTCGCCAGCCCCATCATGGAGGGGCTCAGCAGGGTCACGGACTACAGGAGGGCATGCTGGGACGGTGACGGCAACTGGTTTCCACTACGCCACGACATTGGCATGAAAGACCGAACCGACCAGACTCTCCTACCGCAGAATATGTTGGATCATGTTCGCGTGCAGCACCCGATCAGTCCCTACGAGCTCTTGGAGAAGACGTGCTGCCATACGAGGAGTCTCTGGACTACGCCGGCACGATGGTCGAGATCAGCAAGACATAATAAAAAGACGAAACCATCAGCTTGGCCGAGGACCTCAGCAGCAAGCAGCTTCGCCGGTGTCAGGAAGCAGTGCGCACAGGCTACACGGAGGTGAACAACGTCCTATACAGGGCGAGCGACGTACAACGTGGCAAGCGGAAAGTCTGGCAGGTCTACGGCGGCCAATCGGAGCTCACAGCGGAACTGCGCCGACGAGATTTCCAGGCGAGGACGTTCGGACTGCACAGCGGCGGGGATTCCAGTGACATACACACGCAGATGAAATTTCTCTGGAAGATTGACCAAAACGAACCAAACGACGTTTGGATGAGTCCCGGATGCAAGAAACGGAAACGGAACGCCTGTGCGGGCATGCGCCCGGGCCCCATTAAGGGCGAGGCGGGTGAGGCCATGGCCTCGCATGAGAAGCTGCGCGCGTCGGGGGTCTACTCAGGACAATGCGTACTTCAGGAGCTGATTTCCCTACAGTCCCCACTCATCCGTTTTCTCATGATGTAGCCACGTCGTCTCGTTGAAATCGTAGTGCTTGTGGTGTGAGACTGTCGGAGAAACCCGTGGGTGTCATCGTCCTTTCTGTGATCTCGAACTCATAGCAAAACACGTTCGAGTTGAACTCCTCGGACCTCCAATCCACTGCACATGGGTGTGGGAGCACTGGTGTTCTCTTGAACTCTGTAGTGCAGGCTGTGGTCAAGGCTGTGGTCAATGCAAGACCGAGGAGACTTGCACGCGCCTGACGGCCCAAAGGAGAGAGCATCATGACACGCACCTGATGTTCTGCAGGAATATCTACCTCGCACAATGTGAGGCAGGTCACGCACATGTGGAGAAGCACGCGACAGCGAGACGCTGAAGAAGGAAGGCGTTGTGCAACCTGCCAGGACACCACGTGCTGTTCGACCAGTGCATGACCAGCTTGGCGATACCAGGAGAAGGACCCGCTCGCAAGAGGACTGGAGTTCGGACCACTAAACGACATTTCGCCGAGGGTCTGCACAACTACTAGTATGATAAGAAGCATGATGAAGTGCAGCTCGAATGCAGGATGCCGGACACCAACATGCATAGGACAACATTTGCGGATAACTACGGCACACAGTTGGCCACTATCCTGAGCGACCTGCTGAGCAAGGCGAACACGCACGACGGAGCCATTCCTCGTGCTGGGGCTCGATCGAGGACGACGAAGACCCCGTGGAGCACATCTATCACACCACGGTGAACCTCAACGACGCGAACGTGAAGATCATCTGCGCTAACAGGCTCACCAAGAGCGAGTTTGGCCAGAACGTGTTCAGGTACGTGGAAAGGCTCTACAAGAACCTGGGCCACCCCAG